ACCCGAATAAGGCCGGGGGCCATTATGCCCCCCCCCCCTCCATGATTTTCCTGATTGTTCTGGAACGCATATGGATGGCGCCCCGCCGCTCGCTGACTTTTTTCTTTCGAGTCTTGCGCATCTTTTAAAAGATTTCTTTTGAAAACCGGGCCTACAGTTACAAGGTCATGTGACATTTTGTCTTTGCATGTCAGCCCGAAAATCGCTCATTTTTTTGTGATTTCTGTACAAAACATAAGGAAATGTCATTTTTCCTAAAAAAACAGATCAAACATTGGTTATTGGGTCTTGTTTAAAGTTTAGGTGGTTGTTTTGGGAGTCAAAATAGTTGAAATGTAGTAAGAAATGAAATAAAACCACAAAAACAATAAAATACATAAGTTGATAAAAAACAATTAAATACATAAGAAATATGAAAACAAGAGATAACATAAGGAAAAAGCTGGCTCTTCATAATATTTTTAGTATCGTTTTGTTATTCCAAATGGTCTAATGAATATATGAAGTGAAAAAGAATGCTTAAATATGAATAATGTATGATTTATGGGTAAAATTGTAATTGTATTACCTTATTTGCATAAATTACCATAAATATGCAAATGAGTGAATTTTTCAGAAAATTTAAATTATCATATTATACTATACACTTCACTTGACATGCATGCAAATTTTCGCGGAGATCGGCCCGTTTCACGGCCGAGATCTTAAGGGGGCCATAATGCCCCCCCCCCCCGGCCGTACTAAGACCTCAAATAGCCCGGCTTTTTTAGGGTTAACTAATCCTACTTTTGACTTTTACAATATCCAATACATGTTTTAAATCTGCTTCATTCTCTGCGCAAAGTATAGTTTCATCAGCATAACGAAAATTATTAATATTTACATCCCCAATACTAACACCTTTCATATCTAAAATTTCCCTGAATACCAACTCTGTGCATGTTTCCTTTGCTCTTCATAAATACCAACAAAATGATAGTACACACTCAGGTGGTGTGTTTTCCTTTTGCAGGCTGAAAATATAATTTTGTGTGAATCCCATCATAAACAAGAGGTACTGAAAACTCCCCTGAAAAGATTAGAACTGGCAATTGCCTTTTTGATATTTGGAATTATATCGACCGTTAGGAATTTTCGCAACACGTTTTGAAAATTATGCGTAGAAAATGGTCTGGTTTTTAGTACCGTTTGATCGTACGTTTTGTGCTGCGCAAAGATTCAGTTTGCTTAATTTTGGCCATTAAAAGAATCGGGTTATTGATGTGTAAAACAAAATGCTCATGTACCCTTTACATCTCATTTTATGAATGTTATTACCAAAGAAAACAAAAGTCAGTCTGTCACTCAATAGTGTCTGAAAGTAAAGTCTATGAATTAAAACGGATTTCCTTGCATAATTTGAATACTATAGGAGACTGCAAACTATACATTTCACAGATAAGACACACGTGACATATTCATAGTCCCTGCAATATTCTGCATTAATTTGGTTTAGGCCGCAAGAGGGACACATTATCTTTAAGAGCAATACAATGATGTTTCTGTCTCAAATCTCTCACTTTTTTTTCTTCGACTAATGTCGTTATTCAATTTTTTCAAAGCATAAAACAGTATAAGCAAATGTACAAAATGATGTATAAATACATTTGACAAAGAAAGGTACAATGAAAAACAAGATTCTAGTATTTAGTTGGTATTATTCTAGTATTTATTTAAGTTGGACATACCTCCATCTATCGAGAAATAAAATATACCTCTCTTATTGCGCATACAAATATTGGTTGTTCAACTTCATAATGATATTTCAATTTCTTTTGAAAACATGGAAGTGATCAAGATCCCTTCAAACATTTAAAACATGAAAATATATGATGTTGTGCATCAAATAATGAAATTGAATGAGAAATAATTTCAACCTGGGATGACAAAGATGAAATTAATACTTGTTAACTTAATATTATTTTCAGAGTATATTTTTCAACATCATCTAAGAATCTTCTGAACAAAACGTACGTACATCAGAATGGGATATACCAACAGCCTTTGAATACTTATTGACAACAAGAAAATGGTAGTAGTAGTAGTAGTAGTAGTAGTAGTAGTAGTAGTAGTAGTAGTAGTAGTAGAATGGTTTTATTAGACAACTGCAAAATGGTAGCCCGAAAGCTAAATTACATTGCAAGTTTTACAAGTATTAAAAAGCATTTCAACAAAACTTAGATATATAGACAAGTACAAAAAATACACAGTCGGATAGATCGTAACTCCCTATAATATTACATATTCCCTACTTGCAAACAAATTGATGATACAAATAAAATAGATTCGGCATTATTATTATTTTTGAAATCATTGTTAAGTGATGAATATTCATATTTTAAATAGAAATTTAGGCTGATTAACTGAGTTATAACAAGTAAATACTGATTATTAGAAGATTTGTTGAATTTCGAACCGTAATGCACATTGAATGTCTATAAAGCTACAAAATATATAAGGATTTACCATAAAAACATGATTAAACAAATACTGAAAGGGAGGGAAAAGGTCAGGGAGAGAACGATTTAAAGAGAGAGGGTTAAGTAAGAAAGAAAAACAGGAAGACCTGCGGAAGATGGGAGAGAGGGAGAGAGAGATAGAGAGGGAGGGAGTGGAATGAGAAGAATGGAACAGTTAGAACTGTGAAGACATGGAGGAGAGGAATGATGATGAAAGTAAGACGACAAAGGGAAAGTTATTAGAAAGAAATTATAAAGTAAATTACAAGTTGTGAGTTATTTGGAACTGAAAATACCTTAACTTTGTCGAAAAATAACATTAAAAGGAATAATGTAAATTTGATTCCAATTAACAACTTAATTTGAAAGAATACTTTTCCATTTCTTTTGGGAAATTGGAACTTTAAAGAGTTTGTCAACACACAATGTATGAATTAGTTCACCTATACTTAAGTAACTTTGCTCATGCTACAATAATTCCTTCTTCGTATTTGTCTTAGATGGGTCTTAGCAAATATGCTTCCATTTTAAAGGTATAACCGATATAATTACATCGAAGATTTAATTTATTGACAAACTCAGAATGTGAGAAGAATTGCAGCTGATGAATTCATTTAAGTTAAAAGTCAGTCAATTGTTTTTTTGTTTTTGTTTTTATGATTAACAATAATTGTTGTCATGGAATTGGACAAATTGACCCCTCGCCCGTTAAAAAATCCTAATCACTTTTTAGAATTTTACACAGATGAAGCAGATATTGTGATAAGGGCTTTCAAATACTCACAAAATTGTAGTCTGTGTCAAAAAGAATGGAGTAATGCGTAAATGCGATCATGGACCTGTTGCGATATAGAAATCAACTTATTACGACCCCCTCCCCACGAACGTGTTAATATGCCTGTATAATTATGTTGGGGTCGCTTGCACCTCAAAAATCACTATATTGATAATAGATAGTTATTCCATAAATGACAAGCTGATATTTAGATATTGTTTTTGTCATACAGGTTAGTCAATCTATACCTAAACCGACCTACTAAGTGTTCGTCAGTAACGCGTCAAGGCCGTTTATGCAGCCGAGATTCCCGATTTCCTGGCGTCGCTCCTAAGTGTACTCAGCATCGTAAGTTTATAATTTGTTTATTATATCTTTCTCCACTTGTGGAATTGAAAGACTTTATCCGCATGACACATTTTTTTCTTCTTTGGGTTTCCTCACATTAAAAATATCTTGCAATCATGGATACAAGAAGAATATACTATTGGATGGCTTTAGGGTCAATACAAGGAAATATTGAACGAAATATTTCTGCATATTGAGTTCGATATTTCATGTATTGGCCGAAATAAGCCATTCAATAGTATGACTATTATTTCAAAATAAAAAATATCAAAATTTGGAGCCTTTTTTCATTACGGCTTCGCATGGTCTATTATGCAAAGTTAACACACCTTGAAAGCCGCTGAAATATAGTGTTTGATCCATCTTGGCCTGCTGCTTACTCCATACCATGTTCATTTTTTTTATCAAAATTAAAATGAAATTAGTGTTAGGCTATTGGCGACATTAAATTCAATATTATGGGAAATATCTCCATGTATCTTTTACATCAGATAGCTGGAGAAAATTTCATTCCATGATTTGTCAACGTCAAAATATAAGGAACAGGGTTCTGTTTATGTGCGTATCATAAGTGTATATCTATGCTGTCCCTGTATTAACCCTCACTGTACTGGGGCCTAGGAGCCCCCCCCCCCCCCCTGGAATTTTAAATTGTCGTTTCTACGCAACTACGCACCGAGGTCCTACTCATTATGTTGATACCATTTTCGTCGAAATCAGATATACTTGTAAGGTGTCACATTATTAGTATGCGCATGTCATCAAAGAGTGCTATAATTGCATATTCATGTACAAGCAAAAATGTGAACACAGGTTTAGATTTCTTCAAACAAGTGTGAGATATAAATTGATATCAACTTGCTTTGATATGTTCCCGAGCAAATACATTAGAAATAAAACAATAGATATAATAAGAAATATAAAACATTAAAATACATAAGAAAATAAAATGATGAAATATGCGTATTCATAATTTATGCAAATTAACCTTTGCATTTCCAAATATAAAAATGATGAAATGTCATGAATTTGAAATGAAGGAAACGTTTATTCAATGCATTTTCAAGATTCTTCGAAAGTCTTGAGACAAATATGTACATTTTTTTCTGTAAAATGTATGACATTAGCATTTGCATAATCAATTAGGGTTTAATGACAACAACTTGCATATTAGGAAAAACGAATTATACCATCTTGTTTCTTACGTGAATATCTTCAAACATGCAAATTTTCGTGTTCATCGGACATTCGACGGCCGAGATCATAGAAAGGGAGGGAGCCCCAGCCCCCCCCCCCCCCCTCCCCAGTCAGATGTTTAAAAAAGCCCAGTGCAGTAAGGGTTAAAAGGGTAACCCAATTTTATCAACAAATAAACGCAAATAATGTTTTCATTTAATGCATACATTATTGAAAAGATAATTTTTCTCTTCTAGCGTACGGCATCAAAATAATGATTACTAAATCATGCATGGCTGTATTAAGACAGTAGGAGCTCAGGCAGAAAAAACATTAATTATCAAAAACAAGTCGAGAGCTGCTACATTTGGTTCATAATGATTTTGAAAAGACAGAGAATGAGTTATGATCATTAATGATTAAAAGAATACATCAAATAAAAGTTCATTCTTGGCTTTCATAATGATGACACCATAACGCATGACTTTGCAGAAACAAGTTGCTATTGGTAAGGCATATCATTAACATGAATTCAACTACCATATTTAATTCCTTAAACGAAATTTCGACGCCCCGCGTGATTTAATATTGAACAAAAAATAACTGATAATGATTAATAATCCCAATTCATTTCGTTTCTTCGCACTCTTTTCCATCGCGGTCTTCAATGTCCGGATCGTTTTTAGATTACGTATGCGGGAAAATATATCTAAAAAGTTGTAAGGGATCCGGGCCTTGTTTGACTGAATTCACATAAATCCTGTGCTTTCATTTATTCGGACTGGACTTTTTTTCCAGATAACATGACCCTGTATTTAGAAGAAGAGGAAGCTGAATTAGCGGCGCTTGAGGCGCTGGCGGCGGTGGATGCTGATCAGGCCGTAGAAGAGGTGCTTGAGGCTGAGGCAGAGGAGGTGCTGGAGGTTGAGGCCGTAGAGGAGGTGCTGGGGGCTGAGGAGTTCGAGGAGATCGAGTTCGAGGAGATCGAGGTTCACCGGATGGATGGAGAAGAAGAAGGAGAGTGGGGGCACCCCAACGATGACTGGAGACTTCATTGGACGGCTAGCGAGGCGACTGAGGATGAGGAGGAGGAGGAGGTGAATGTGGAGGTGTTTGAGATGATCGAGGTTATGCAGAGGGATGAGGAAGGAGAATGGGGACAGCAAGACGATGACTGGAGACTTCATTGGACGGCTAGCGAGGCGACTGAGGATGAGGAGGAGGAGGAGAGGGTAGAGTAAGGGTAGAGGGAGGGGTGGCGGTGGGGGAACAGGGGTAGAGTATAGGGTAGAGGGAGGGGTGGGGTGGGGGAACAGAGGTAGAGTAAGGGTAGAGGGAGGAGTGGCGGTGGGGGAACAGGGGTAGAGTATGGTGTAGAGGGAGGTGGTGGTGGGGGAACAGGGGTAGAGTATGGGGTAGAGGGAGGGGTGGCGGTGGGGGAACAGGGGTAGTTTTTACTTTTATTTTACCCATGTGAGCAATATGTTTTGTTTTATTTTTTCTTTACTTTTGTTATTTTGTATTCATGTTATCCACAGTATTATTGCTGGCATTGCAATCATGCTTCATTATTACTATTATTACTTTTGTTCCTATGATTTATTCATGAGAGACAATAGACACACTAATGACAAAGTTTTATCCCACTCAGTTGAGCTTTAAAAGTAAACCACAGTGTTTGACTGATCGCGACGCCGTGGTGTAGTGGTTCAGTCGCTCAACTTCAATGAGAAATTTGAATCCTAGCCTGGCTCTACAGTCCTTTGACAAGATGTTCAAATCTCTGGTATAGTCATGTCAAGTCATGGTGTAGTGGTTCAATCAATGAATTACCCAGTCTGGCATGAATACCGTTTGGCAAATTATTTAATCTGCATATTGCCATTCTTCATCCGGTGTAGGTTGACATTGTCTTGTTCTGCTAGAGTGCTAAATAATTATGGTTTACTCAATTTAATAATAGTTTTATAGAACACATGCTCAGGCATAATATTGTTTCTACGTCCAACTAATTTAGAACACTGTGGTTTACTTTTAAAATGGGGGTAACTACTATATCTAGATATTCAGGAGCACAAAGTGTGAAAACCCGATGTTTACAGATCTTCCCCTAAAATACTACAACAAGTCGCTCTCTCTCCAGTTTATTACGGAATTTATGGCTAAAACAATAATATACCGTGGCAGCGCCTGAAGAAGTATTTGGGACATCCAGATACCCAAAAGCATTAAACGATTTTAAAATTTAAAAAAGAAAATATATTATACTTTCATTTTCCTCCAACATGGAGGAAATTTTCTCCATCAGATGCTCTTAGCTATTTTGCCCCAAACCCTCAGAAAAACTTTTCCACAAAATGCTGAAACGTATTTTAACAGAATAACCTGAAAGCCCTAACCTTTTTATTATTTAGAAATTAGCAAAATAATGTAGTTTTCGAGGACTCGAGGAGAAGACATCTTACGACAAAATATTCTAAATAGAAAAAGAAAGAAAAAATAGCATAAGAAAAGAAATTACAGATAGCATTGGCCCTTTCGGGCAGTTCATTTTAAAAAGGAAATCTACAGCCTGCCCCCAGTGCAAAATGTACGTTTTAATCAACAAAAATAGTTTTGCCTTGCCCCTTCCCACAAATCCTTGAAGACCATAATAAAAATCACATTTTCATGGTCGCAGCTACCATTGTATGGCCGTAAGCGCTATTTAATTTTTTTCCAAAATTTAAAATTTATCAGAATTTTCCGGGAGCACCGGTAAGTTTTGATATTCAATTTTTCTCGAAGGCAGAAGTTTTCTTGAGGCTAATTTTTAAGTGCTTATAATACATCCACAGGAGCATCCAAAATATCAAAATTGTAAAGAATCACTATCCAGCAAATTTTCAAAATTTCCCAAAACTTTGTGCGAATTGTGCGAAATAATGCAACACTCCTCTTCCGCCTCCTAATGGACTCCCGCATCGTGGAGGTTCCCCTGTGATAACGGGACACCAGGCGTCTCACCCTGGATGTTAAGATCACGTAATCTCACACTGACTTCACCTTTTCCACTCACCTTCATCCATTGGTCAGCGGGTTTAACTTCTTTCTTTTCTTGCTCCCAACCTCCAGGGGCGTCTCCGGCCATTTCATGTGAAGATGGTGCAGAAGGGAATCTGTGTTTGGAGCCATCAACTGTTCTCCTGGATCATGCTTGTCACTTATCTGTGATGACCCAAACATCAGGTTTCGACACTGGATGGATGAGAAGCAGATTTCATTGGATCATGGTGGTAAGAAAGTCATGTGTAGCATTTGCTTCTCATTTTAAGGGTGTTTTAGGGATGGGCCAAATACAGAATACCCCATTTTAGGGGGGGGGGGTATTTCGAACCGATTTGCATTTCTTTGGCAGTGTTTGCATCATGCAAACCTTCGTTGGCTGTTCAAAATAAACAAGATAAAAACGAAGGAAAAATGAGAGGAAGGGGGTATTCTATATTGTAGGTAGATAAGAATTTTGAATAAGTACTCTCCTTAATTTTTAAAATTCCTGTTACTGTCCTTTTCCGTATATACATGTATTCCATTCCTTTGGGATTTTAGGATTCCAGTCATGAAGCCGATATTAGGGGTTTATTAGGTTACTAGCTTTATATGCCTCTTGTCCAACTGCATTGCACGTTTGACACACATACAAGTTAATGTAAAGATATTTCTTCGAGGAAAAGGTACATGAGTAACGCCTGACCGGCTGACTGAGTTTAGCTTTGTATCAAGAGTAGACTATCCCTTTCAGAGGCCTATTGGTATATGCCTTGCTGGAGATAGTGACTTACGAATAATGAGGCTTCGGTTATTATATAGGAATTGTCTTTCGTATATTTACTTTTGATTTTAAGATCCATGATCTTTGACATATTGATATTCTTCGTAATTTCAGGTTTTCTGTTTTTTCTGTAAGTAGTCAAGGTGCTCGATCGTTTATGTAGTTAATTTCTGTCTGGGAGATGTTCGCCTACCGGCACCCCGGCCCAATCAAGTGGTCTGTCATCCATTATTATTTATAGGGCTACCATTATAGGTTTCCCTGGAATACATAACCCCGAAAATTTCATATAATTATTGAATATTTGTGGACACAGTTTATATTGTTATATTGATAGATAAGTTAGTATTTCACATGATGTTTAGATGTCCTTTTTCTCTGGTGTTTGTTATTGGGTCTTGAACGGTAGGTCTATGGAACGCCCGATCAGGGACTCTTTTATTGACTTTTGCGTTTTTTGTATTTTTTACAATATGTAAGGCTTTGCAAAAGAAATTAAGGTAGGTAATGCTTGTCTGTGAGATGGTGGGCTGTAAATTACGAACCTACCGGGCCATACCCCTTAAATAAATTGTAGGTGTACAGCAAGCCTAGCCAGTTGCTATTTTTTTTTAATGTTTTCTATGGTTTCCCTGACAGTAACGCGTGGTAACTACATTTTTTCGTAATACATAGTTGAAGCTTGGTCCTTCCTTTGTTTATAATTGATGGTAAGGATCTGGTGTGATGTGAATACTAATTAGCCTACTGTTAACGGTACGCCCTATCATTTGCCAATTTTATTTTTATACGTTGAGCGTGGTTCAGTCATGTACTCGATTCCCTTTTATTCTTTTTTCTGTAAGGCTCATTAGAACTTCATGTAGTTAGATACTGGCTGGGGACTGGGAGACGGTGTCCTATGAAAACTGAGCCTACCGGGCCACGCCCTTTAGACTGTAGGTGAACGGCACGCCCAGTCAGTATCTCTCTTTTTCTTCTCTTATGTATGCAGAGCTTAGTTCTGTAAGAAGCTTCCTATTGTGTTTCCTTCTTTTTTCTGTAAGGCTAATTAGGGTAGTTAATTACTGCCAGGGAGACGTTATTTAGTGAATAACGAGCCTACCGGGCCCCGTCCAATTAACTGTAGGTGAAAGGCAGACCCAGTCAGTTGCTTTTTTTTATACATTTATTTATGTAGACCTTTGTTCTGTCAGAAACTTAATCATTTTTTGATGTTGTAAGGCTAACTGAAATATAGGATAGTATTACTGGCTGGGATACGGTATCATGTGAATAATGATCCTACCGGGCCCCGCCCCTTAAACTGTAGGTGAATAGCACGCCCAGACAGTAGCCTTTTTTCTTTTCCTCTCTCTTATATGCAGAGCCTTTTTCTGTAAGGAACTTAATTTGTCTTCTTTTTTCTGTGAGGCGAATTAGACGTTAGTGAAGATAACTCTTACCTGGGAGACGGTGACCTGTGAATAATAAGCCTACCGGGCCCCGCCCCTTCAACTGTAGCCTGAACGGCACGCCCAAACAGTTGCTATATATATATATATATATATATATATATATATAAATGTAGAGCTTTGTTCTGTCAGAAACTTAATTATTTTTGTTCTTGTTAAGCCAACTAGAATGAAGTGTAGTTAATTACTGGCAGGCAGACAGTGACCTGTGAATAATGAGCCTACCGGGCCCCGCCCCTTAAACTGTAGGTGAATAGCACGCCCAGACGGTAGCCTTTTTTCTTTTCCTCTCTCTTATATGCAGAGCCTTTTTCTGTAAGAAACTTAATTTGTCTTCTTTTTCTGTAGGGCTATTAAAAGTTTAGCGTAGTTAACTCTTAGTTGGGAGGTGGTGACCTGCGAACAATAAGCCTACCGGGCCCCGCCCTTTAAACTGTAGTTGCTTTTTTTTTAGTTTTATTTATGTAGAGTTTTTTTCTGTCAGAAACTTAATTATGTTTATATTGCTGTATGGCTAACTAGAATATTGGGTAGTTTAACATTTTGATGGGAGGCGGTGTCCTGGGAAGAATGAGCCTACCGGGCCCCGCCCCCTAAACTATAGGTGAACAGCACACCAAGTCACTTGCTAGTTTGGTGAAGAGGTTAGTTTCGTCAGGTACTGATTGTTCACAAAATAATCGAAAGGCTCACCAGAATTTACTTAACTTATTTTTTAGTCTTGCCAATTTTGAGTACTTCTTGTCTCACAATTGTTACTGTAATGCCGTAGACAGTACAGCCATCGACGTGCAGGCTGATGGACAGTTGTAGATCCTTCGAGAGTTATGGGAGATCAGGTTGGATGATACATGGGCTAGCTGTAACTACTAGGTAGGGTATAACCTGTCTTACTAGAGCACCTGTGAGTGATGTTCTAGCTGGTCTTGTACCTTAAATTGCTGGAGAACGGTGCAGCAAGATAAGGTATTTTGTTCCTTCTTTCTTTTCCTTCATTGTTTTCCTTCTTTTTTCTCTCGGTAGGGCTTGTTCGTAGTTTAAGGTGCTTGCTATGTGTCATCATGCCATTCTCTTCATGCTCGTGACAGATCAACGGCTCGCCAAATCAGTTGCTTTGTTTCATTTATTCATGTAGAGTTTTGTTCTATCAGAAACTTAATTATTTTTGTTCTCGTATGGCTAACTAGAATATAGGGTAAATAATTACTGGCTGAGAGACGGTGACCTGTGAATAATGAGCCTACCGGGCCCCGCCCCTTAAACTGTAGGTGAATAGCACGGCCAGGCAGTAGCTTTTATTTATTTTCCTCTCTCATGTATGCAGAGCCTTGTTCTGTAAGAAACTTAATTTGTCTTCTTTTTCTGTAGGGCTATTAAAAGTTTAGCGTAGTTAACTCTTAGTTGGGAGGTGGTGACCTGCGAACAATAAGCCTACCGGGCCCCGCCCTTTAAACTGTAGTTGCTTTTTTTTTAACTTTTATTTATGTAGAGTTTTTTTCTGTCAGAAACTTAATTATGTTTATATTGCTGTATGGCTAACAAGAATATTGGGTAGTTTATCATTTTGATGGGAGGCGGTGTCCTGGGAAGAATGAGCCTACCGGGCCCCGCCCCCTAAACTATAGGTGAACAGCACACCAAGTCACTTGCTAGTTTGGTGAAGAGGTTAGTTTCGTCAGGTACTGATTGTTCACAAAATAATCGAAAGGCTCACCAGAATTTACTTAACTTATTTTTTAGTCTTGCCAATTTTGAGTACTTCTTGTCTCACAATTGTTACTGTAATGCCGTAGACAGTACAGCCATCGACGTGCAGGTGATGGACAGTTGTAGATCCTTGAGAGTTATGGGAGATCAGGTTGGATTATACATGGGCTAGCTGTAACTACTAGGTAGGGTATAACCTGTCTTACTAGAGCACCTGTGAGTGATGTTCTAGCTGGTCTTGTACCTTAAATTGCTGGAGAACGGTGCAGCAAGATCAGGCATTTTGTTCCTTCTTTCTTTTCCTTCATTGTTTTCCTTCTTTTTTCTCTCGGTAGGGCTTGTTCGTAGTTTAAGGTGCTTGCTATGTGTCATCATGCCATTCTCTTCATGCTCGTGACAGATCAACGGCTCGCCCAATCAGTTGCTTTGTTTCATTTATTCATGTAGAGTTTTGTTCTATCAGAAACTTAATTATTTTTGTTCTCGTATGGCTAACTAGAATATAGGGTAAATAATTACTGGCTGAGAGACGGTGACCTGTGAATAATGAGCCTACCGGGCCCCGCCCCTTAAACTGTAGGTGAATAGCACGGCCAGGCAGTAGCTTTTATTTATTTTCCTCTCTCATGTATGCAGAGCCTTGTTCTGTAAGAAACTTAATTTGTCTTCTTTTTCTGTAGGGCTATTAAAAGTTTAGCGTAGTTAACTCTTAGTTGGGAGGTGGTGACCTGCGAACAATAAGCCTACCGGGCCCCGCCCTTTAAACTGTAGTTGCTTTTTTTTTAACTTTTATTTATGTAGAGTTTTTTTCTGTCAGAAACTTAATTATGTTTATATTGCTGTATGGCTAACAAGAATATTGGGTAGTTTATCATTTTGATGGGAGGCGGTGTCCTGGGAAGAATGAGCCTACCGGGCCCCGCCCCCTAAACTATAGGTGAACAGCACACCAAGTCACTTGCTAGTTTGGTGAAGAGGTTAGTTTCGTCAGGTACTGATTGTTCACAAAATAATCGAAAGGCTCACCAGAATTTACTTAACTTATTTTTTAGTCTTGCCAATTTTGAGTACTTCTTGTCTCACAATTGTTACTGTAATGCCGTAGACAGTACAGCCATCGACGTGCAGGCTGATGGACAGTTGTAGATCCTTCGAGAGTTATGGGAGATCAGGTTGGATTATACATGGGCTAGCTGTAACTACTAGGTAGGGTATAACCTGTCTTACTAGAGCACCTGTGAGTGATGTTCTAGCTGGTCTTGTACCTTAAATTGCTGGAGAACGGTGCAGCAAGATAAGGCATTTTGTTCCTTCTTTCTTTTCCTTCATT